GACCACATTAAATCAGAATCAGCCCACTACAAGAAGCCCAGGAATGAGACTAATAGCAGGTTGGAACAGGTGCCAAATTGTGGGAAAAACTCAAGCCTGGTGCAAGTAAGACTGAAACTAACTGGAGGAGTCCCAATCTGCTGCCAATCCTTTCTCTTGGCACTGAGTGCCCCGATGGCATAATGGGCCCAGGTTGACAGCCCAGGCTGCAGATATTCTAAGGAAGAACTATGTGATTATCATTCCAACTGGAACTTTAGTGCTTGCTGATCCTATAAAGCCTCCCTCCCCTTTACTGATTTCATCTTGTCCTGCTAGATGTGGAATTATACCTCCAAGCAATATCTCAACCCATTGTTTCTCTAATCTTTACTATCAAAAAACACCTCCCACTCCAGGGACAAGACACTTTAATTCTTTCTTCTCATCTTCTGATAATGATCCAGCACCATCTTGCCCCTCCCCAGGTCCAATTCACTCCCATTCAGCACTCTGTTGTTTTGTACCATCAGGCAATTCTAACTCCAACTCATAGCTACCCTGTAGGGCACAGTAGAAATGTCCAATAGGGTTTCCTAGGCTTTAAAAGAGCAGCTCACAAAGTCTTTTCTTCGAAGCAGTGGCTGGTGGGTTCCAGCCTTCAACCTTTTGGTTTACAGCATAGTGTTTAACCACTACACCAGGGGGGCTCCTTACTCTGTACTCTTATAGCTTTAAGTTAGTCTCACAGATAGGTGGTAGTATGGGAGAGAAGAATGCAAAGATGAATGTCACATTTCACACCCTTAAGGGGCTCAAACATGAGAAGGAAGAGCAGAGAAGATATTCACATAACCAAAAAAAACCAGTCACTGCCATCAAGTTGATTCTGACTTACAGTGACCCCACAGGACAGAGTAGAATTGCCCCGTAGGATTTCCAAGGCTGTAAATCTTTATAGAAGCAGACAGCCTCATAGTTCTGCAGAGTGGTTGGTGAGTTCAAACTGCCAGTCTTTTGGTTAGCAGCTGAATGCTTTAACCACTGTGCCACCAGAGCTTATTCATACAATAGTTCAATAATTCAGTGCTAGTGGCAGTGGTACTGGACATTGGAAAAGAACCCAGAGTTGGAGCAGCTCATTATCTGGGAGAGGGGTTATCGAGAAGGCTTCCAGAGAGGTGGCATCTCAGGTGGATTATAAAGTATATGAGTAGGAGTTAGTGAGCTACACAGGGTAGGAAAGAGATTCTAAAGGGAGTATCATTGAAAAGAAAAAAATAGGTGAAAATTGCAGAAGAATTTAGGGAAATCCAAGCAGTTGGTTGAACATAAATTCTGGAGACACTGAGTAAAAATGAAATGATAGTATAAAGATATGGACAGAGGCCAAGTCATAGAAGGCCATGCAGGCCACATGAAGAGCTTAAATCTGACCTTCTAAAGGCATGGTAAGCAAACTGCCAGCCTATCTGAAAGTCATGTCCATTCCCCATTGCTAGACTCTGTGAAGCCAAGGTCCCTGTTATCTTGTCCCCAAAAAATTCTTGGGACTTAAGTGGCACAATGGTTAAACGCTTAGTCACGAACTGGAAGGTTGGTGGTTTGAACCCACCCAGTGGCTTGACAGGAGAAAGACCTGTTGATCTGTTCCAGTAAAGATTACAGCCAAGAAAACCACATGGGGTCAATGTGAGTTGAATACTACTGTGTGGATGGCATCTGACGACAGCAACAAATTTTAAAAGGAACATTTTAATTAAAAATTAATTCCTAAATATCTGCGTATAATTAATTTAAATAAAGAACACATCTTGTAGTATTTTGCTTCTCACAGACAATATGTTGTGCTGAATAAGGACCATTTTTCCCTTGTCGTTTTCTGTGTATTTTTGTGGCTAACTTAAGAAAAAAATTCCTATGTAAAGTCTTCTACACATGAAGTGTAATTAGTTTTATTGTCTATCAAAGAAAGTTTTTAGGACAAAGAAGGTAACATTTGATAAAAAGATTAGTTAAAACATTGCTGAATAAAATACTGCTGGAATGATACACCACCAGTCCTCTTCTAATTGATTCTGACTCATGCCGACCCCATGTGTGTCAGAGTAGAACTGTGTTCCATAGGGTTTTCAGTGGCTGATTTTTCAGAAGTAGATCACCAGGCTTTTTTTCCGAGGTACGAGGTACGGTTGGCTAACCTGCAATCTTTAGGTTAGCAGCCAAGCACATAAACCCTGCATCACCCAGGGACTCCTTGGAAGGATAGATATATCAGGAAACAACAACACTGGTTGCTGATGGAGAAAAGAACTGGGGAACAGTGTTGTGGGGAAGACTTTAATAATTTTGCATAATTAAAAAGTTTTGAATCATGGGAATATATTTCCTATTTAAAAGAACTAACTTAAAAATAATTTTAAGGGGAGACTGGAGGCTAGCGTAGGTGAAAGCCTCTCTCCGCCTCTCCTTGGAGATCCTTTCCTGTGTCTCTTTAATAAACTTTGGTTCATGTGGAAAAAAAAAATAATAATAATTTTAAACTATGAAGGGATATTTGATGGAAGGGTCTTTCAGGAAAAATACGGTTTTTTGAGGAATTTGTTGTTGTTGTGTTATGTGCCATGATGGCTAAAAATTAACCCAATATACTCTTACTAAACAATCACCAAGACTTAATATTCTATCATTTAAATTCTAAAACTTATTTATCATGAAGGCATGCTTATGCACAAAATAGTGTATAATATTCACAGAACAGTGCTTGGTGCAATGAGGGGTTAAAAAGTATTTGTTGATTGTTGAAAATATAAACAGAGTGTTCTACTATTTTTCAAAAATATCTTTTCTATTCTGTGTGATGACAAAGCTTTAGGATCCTTCATTTTCTCATGCTATTCTAACAGTGATTAGGTCCAGGGTTTCCATTTGTTTGCTTCTCCTTTTCTAGCCTCCTTGAAAGCTTTAACTGAAGGATAATTCCCATTTCCACTGTCCCAGAGAAGAAGAGTCAGACTAAAGCCTCTTCCAGGAAGGAAACTGGCACAGAAGCTTGAGCTGGGTAAATAAAAAAAAAAAACCAAACCCACTGCCATCGAGTCAATTCCAATTCCGACTCATAAGAACCCTAAAACTCAAAACTCCCTGCCATCGAATTGATTCCAATTCATAGCAACTGCCCCCTCCCCCCAATTGGGTTTCCAAGGCTGTAAATCTTTACAGAAGCAGACTGCCTCATCTTTCTCCTGCAGAGCAGCTGGTGGGTTTAAACAGCCAACCTTCTGGTTAGCAGCCAAATGCTTTAACCACTACTGCACCACCAGAGCTCTTTCCTGAGCTGGGTGACAGTGGTCAATTCCAGCAAGGTCATCTTACCCTGACTGTAGCTAGCACAGTGCCTCTGCTAAGCCTCAGCAAGCTTGCTCTCTTCCCCTCTTGCCTCTGTTAACCTTATTTCCAGCTCAAATGTGGAAGAAATTATTATTCCTTCTTTTCCTGGTGCAAGAGAAGTAGCTCAAACTTTGGGTCACGCAAACCTAATTTCAGATTCTAGCTTTGCCTTGGGTAAGCTGTGTGACCCTGAACATATTATATGACTTCAATCTCCCTAAGCCTCATTTTCTTCGTCTGCACATAAGAATGTTCCTGGGCGGTACGAACGGTTAACATGCTTGGCTGTTAACTGAAAGACTGGTGGTTCATGGTTTGAGTCCACCCAGAAACACCTCAGAAGAAAGGCCTGGTGATCTATTTCTGAAAAACCAGCCACGGAAAATCCTATGGCTCACAGTTCTACTCTAATACACATAGGGTTGCCAAGAGTCAGAATCAACTTGATGGCAACTGATTTGGTTGTTTTGGTTTTAAATATGACTTACTGCCATGAGTCAACTTTCAGAGATGAAGGTAGTTTCAAACAGTACTCAAATGTGTCAATGATACACCTAGGTGCAAGGGAGTTCTTTCAAGTACAGCAGGTATGCAGGAAGCAGAAGTACCCTCACACAGGGTTGACACCTCTAGCCATACTGGCGCAATAGTGGAAATATGTATGATTTGCCAGAGCTGCTATAGTTTCCTGGGATATCATCACCAGGAAGAGGTGTCACATAGGTAACACAGGTACTCCCTGTGTGGGAAATTCTGTGAAACAGAATTTGAATAGAAACCCAGTCCTAAATCAAAGAGGAAGTTTAGGGCTGTTTTCTGCCATTGGGTGCCTGGCATACTTTGCAGTCCTTTCCAAATTATCATAAATAGTTGAAGAATCTTCAAAGCATAAAAAACAAGAGCGTGCAAAGTGGAATGGCTAATAAAAATTTGTGACTTAAAGATTGACAGTTCACTTTGGATCACGTCCAGCTAAAATCTCTTTATATACACACACACAACACACACACACACACATATTTCACCTTATTTTTCTAAGTAATAACATAACAGACTAGATTTGTTGAACTAAATTGAGGAGAACTGAATACTTGTTCAGATTTTAAACTAAAGAATTTAAGCCAGTGACAATCTGTCAACATCCAAAAAGGTCTCAAAAATTCTAAAAATAGCCTCTCATTGACCCTGCCTTCCACCTCTACAGCTCCATGAACTTTGAGCAATGACAGCATCAATGAAAGTGTGCATGATCACCCTCCGAAAGAAACATTACCAGAAGATTTACTGAAAACAGTCTCATTATGTTATAGCCATACTTATTAAAAGCTAGGAAAAGCGATCATTCAAAAGACTAAGCTAAAAGTCGGAAACTATGTGATTCACAAGCAAAGGTGGTTTTGCCAGAGCTACTGTAGTCGTGCGTATTTCTTAAATCACAGGTATCTCATAGATACGGAGACAAAAGACCTGGCACTAAACATTACTAAAAGAAGAAGCAACCAAGCTAATAATCTTCTAAGCATTAATTTTTTTTTCCCCCCAAATGCATCAGTTCTCCAGAGGAAAGAATGCTAGCAAACTCAATTTCTAACAATAAGAAGAAATAGAAACGGAAATGGGTACTTAGTTACCTGGAATCCTATTGAGTGTCACCCAGAAATGTTCATCAGGACTATAGGTATCTTTAGACCATTGTAGCAGATCAATGGCCCGTTTGTCATGAAAGACAAAATTGACAAACTCTCTGGTCAGCGCTACATAGGCAGTGCCAAAGTAGATGGTCATCTGATGTGGAGGTGAGGTTTTCAAAACATTAGTATTTTGCACAAAAGAGCCATGCTTGCCCATATGCTCTCGGTGAACATATTTAGTCCGCTTAATTGCATGATCAGGAGGCAGCACTCCTGGAGTAATATTTTTCCCTTTAAATCCTTTCAGATACTGGATTATCTCCTTGTTGGTTTTCAGGGGGAAATCTTGCCCACAGGTGTTGATCACGTACTTCCAGGGAACCTCTGAGGCTACCAGGTCTCTCATGCAGTTCAGGTCAGCCTGGAGCCTGGAAATTCCTGCATAAACAACAGGCTCAATCTTTGAAGCAATAAAAGCATTTTGGAAGCAACTCAGTAATTGCCTCACAGATTTCTTAAACTTAGCTGGGGCTTTTTCATCCACATGGATGCAGTAGACATTTTGGGGCATGTAGACAGCCCTGAAGAGCCTCTCAAAAGTTTCGAAGTCCTTATGGATGACCATGACATATGCCAAAGGAAATGCAGCTTCTTCTTCGGACAGAGAACTTGTGATATAGTGGCTCTGAGTCAGGTAGTCCTTGCAAGAGACACTTCCTAATGATGATGTTAATGGCTTTCTCCACAAAAAAATGGACTTCTCTTCTAAGGCAGAATCACAAGCATGTATTCTAAAATCCCTTTCACCGGAAATATTCAGCTTCTCGTAACTTTTTGGCAGGCTTAATTGGCTATTGTACAATATCAAAAAAATTACCACACTGAACACTGTAAAAGCAAAAAGGTAATACCTCCAAAAGTTCATTCTTTTCACTTCCTTGGGGACAGAATCTCTCTTCGGGGATTGAGAAACAACCAGTCCCCGAAGCCACAAGTGTTAAGAGGTTGCCAGTCTTGAATTCTGACAGCTTCTAGAGTGCTGGCTGTTCCTCAGTCCTTCAGTCCTCGTTTACTCTCGATTTCAGTGTCTCTTCCATCCTCTCTAGCGCGGGCTGGAGGTGGGATGCTTGCTAACACACCCTGGTCTCGGGTCCCCGGTTGCTGAATCCCTGCAGCTAGCTGAGCAGTCGCTCAGCTCAGCACCGCTGGCCCGGCGGCCTAGCCCTCCCGCAACCCTCCTCATTTGCATACGAAACGCCATTGGTTGATTTGACCAGATTACGTTATGGAATGGAATGACGAATAGCCCTTTTCACTGTAGACGATTTTCTCTTGCTTTACCCCGCCCCTTTGCATCCGACCTACTCCGATATCCCTTCTCCCCCGCGCTTTCACTCTGCAAACAGTGTTGCAGAATAAGTGGTTCTCCTTTTTCTTGTGAGCGCCATAACCTGCCAGCGTCCTTAGAAACTACAGCTTTAAGGACATCTGCTCCCAGGTCTATTTCTCTGCCACCTCTTTTTCATTTCAGTGTTCTCTCTAACTTCTGGTCACATACTGACGAAAAAAGGGAGAAATGCACTTGCAACGCACCTAAGTGGATTATCAGAGGCCAAAAAAAAAAAATCTTTGTTGGTGAGATAGGTGTTTGCAGGATTGAATCAGACGGATTCTTGTGGCCTTATAAAGCCTATACATTTAGGTGCAGGCTGTGGGAAGAGAGGAGTAAGAATGACACCCTTGTGAGCATGGGTTGGGGATTGAAGGAGCTTGGGAGTACCTTTTAACATTCAATGGTGTTGATGACATTCAGTGAAGTAAACACACCATCCTGTGCGAGGGAAAGAGAAATGGGATAGTCATTGTTCCTGTTCAGGTGAGGCTGGTTCCCATCTCACGCAGCAGGCGTCAGATAACTTGAGCTGTTGACGCAGCAGGCGTCAGATAACTTGAGCTGTTGACGCTGTTTTATCTCCAATGTGTGGAGTGACAAGCCACAGGCCTAACGTGCATTCTCTAACATCTTCAGGTTTGAGGGCCTTACAAGTCATTTCACAGAACTCAAAGAATTTTCGTCCTCTTTCCTACTCAGCCCCTGCCCCCGGCTTCCTTACTCAGAAGAAAGAACAAAAGCTTCAGGGCTGCTACAGAATTCCTGGAAGTATCAGTCAGTGCAATTCAGGCAAACCAGGAAGAGAAACCCAGCAGGTCTGGTCACATTACAAAGGGGTTCTCATAGCAAACCTGTACCAGGCTCCTCCAGCTCTCAGCAGAAGAAGAGTTAGTTACTGGGCAGATATGGTGAGAAGGACACTTCTGGGGGAAACTGTTCCAAACAAGAGATGGACTAGTCAACCACAAGGTGCGCTAATATTTCCTAGCTCCTAGCTCCCTCCGTTTGGCCCAGTCATCCTTCCTGCTTGTTAGGAAAACATTCAATGTATAACGTAACTCTCCCTATATACCTGTTCCACATCACCCATTATCTTCCTATCAAAAACAAAAAAACCAAACCCACTGCCAGGGAGTCGATTTGACTCATAGCGGCCCCTCCTTGGGTTTCCCCAAGCAGTTGTTGTTATGTGCCGTCGAGTCAGACGAGACTCATAGCGACCCCTCCTTGGGTTTCCGAGGCGGTATCACTACGGAAGTAGATTGCCCCATCTTCCTTCCAAGGAGTGGCTGGTGGGTTTGAACTGCCAGCCTTCTGGTTAGCAGTCAAGTGCCTTAGCCACTATGCTACCAGAGCTCCCTCCCTCCCCAAGCAGTAGCTCTATGGAAATAGATTTCCCAATCTGCCTTCTGAGGAGTGACTGGAAGGCTTGAACAGCCAGCCTTCTGGTCAAATGGCTTTGGCACTACGCCGCTAGAGCTCCCAGAGCTCACTTTAATAATGAGTGGTAACAGTAGCACAGAAGTGATGGATATTGATTTGGAGATAGACCCAAAGAGTTGAAAGGGATATTAGAGCTCACAGATGAGGAAACTGAAGCCAATAAAAATACATTTCCCAAAGCCACTCAACTGGATAGGAACCAGAGCCTAATTCTACTGCTTTCCTTCTTTAAAGTCCAGGAGTTCCTGGGTGACACAAATGGTTAAGTGCTCAGCTTCTGCTAGAGCTAGTCTGTTGTGTGCCTTCAAGTAGATTCCAACTTATAGCAGCAACCCTATAGGACAGGGTAGAACTGCCCCGTAGGGCTTCCAGGCCTGTAAATTTTTGCAGAAATAGACTGCCTCATCTTTCTCCCATGGAGTGGTGCGTTCAGACCACCAACTTTCTGGTTAGCAGCTGAATGCTTTAACCACTGTGCCACTAGAGCTCCTGTATGTTCAATAAGCATCTAGTATATGTTCAGTAACTAACAATTTCAATTATTCTATCACTCGTATGTCAGTCTGACACATTGTAGTGTCTTGAGTGTTGCTATGATGCTAGAAGCTATGCCACAGTGTTTCAAATATTGGCAGAGTCACCATGGTGGAGAGGTTTCAGCAGAGCTTACAGAGTAAGACAAATTAGGGAAAAAGACCTGGCAAGCAACTTCTGAAAATTTGCCACTGAAAACCCTGTGGGCCATAACAGAATATTGTCCAATAGAGTGTTGGAAGATAAGCCCCCGAGGTTAGAAGGCAACAACGGACTCAATATGCCAGCGACCATGAGGATGGTGTGGGATAGGGCAGAGTTTCCTTCTATTGCACATGGGCTTGCCATGAGTCAGAACCAACTCTCTGACAACTAACAACAACAACAATTGTTATTATTTAGGTTTGTATCTGAAAAACATCCAACACTCTGACCTCTGTTAATAAACTAAAATTTTGATTTATGTTCTTAGGAATTTAGAAAAAAAATTACCTTTTTAAATTGTTCAAATGGGCTGATTTATTTCCACATGTGAAACTTTACTCTCTCCTTTCCCCATTGCCACCCATTTCACCCCAGAAGAATGTATATATACCAGAAATGTGGCTGTGTGTAGGGAACATTTGAATAATCCTGATGCCTTCACTTCCTCTTAATTCTTACTAGACCACAATCTTTTCTGCAAAACATATCCTAAACAGGACACAGGAAGAAGAAAGTAGTCAGGAAAAGGAGGCAGAGGGCTTTCATTGTAGGTTCAGTCCTTTCTCTCTCTCTCTCTCTCTTTGCCTTAAGCACTGATCCTAACCTAAGGGTTATGGTGGATGGCCAATGCAAAGCAAACTCAATCAATCTATCATTGTGATAAGTCAAAGCAGATTGCAAATTGGGAGGTTGCAACATTATTTTTATGTTAAAACAGCAGTCTCCAAAACATCAGTTCTATAGTCTGTCCTGGTTTATTTAAAGTGAATTAGCTGAGGTGATCGAGATTAGAATGTGATACCTTCTTAGTTTAATGCCTAGCTCAGCAGTAGGTTTCTTTTGACTAATATCTCTGGTAACCAAACAAGCATTTAACAACAACAAAAAATCCATTTCTATGGAGTTGATTCCAACTCATAGCCACCCTGTAAGACAAAGTAGAACTACTCCATAGGATTTCCAAGGCTGTAAATCTTTATGGAAGCAGTTGCCTCATCTTTCTTCCACAGAATGGCTGGTGGGTTCGAATAAGCAACCTTTTGGTTAGCAGCTGAGTGCATCAACCACTGTACCACCAGAGCTCCAAACAAACATTATTTTCCAGCAAAAAATTGAGTGAGTAAGCTATTAACTTCCAATCAGGACATTTCTTCTGCTCTGTTCACTCTCATTGGCTTGCTGTTGTTATTAGGTCCCATTGAGTCAGTTCCAACTCATAGTGACACTATGTACAAAAGAACAAAACACTTTCCTGTCCTGCACTGTCCTAACAATCTTTGCTATGCTTGAGCCCATTACTGCACCCACTGTGTCAATCCATCTTGTAGAAACTCGTCCTCTTTTTCAATGATCCTGTATTTTATCTAGCATGCTGTCCTTCTCCAGGGACTGGTCCCTCTTGATAACATGTCCAAAGTACATGAGAAAAAGTATGGCCATCCTCCCATCTAAGGAGCATTCTTGCTGAGCTTCCTCCAAGACAAATTTGTTCCTTCTTCTGGAAGTCCATGGTATACTCAATATTCTTTATCAACATCATAATTCAAATGCATCAATTCTTCTTTGGTCTTCCTTATTCCAAATTTTGCATGCATATAAGGGGATTGAAAATACCATGGCTTAGGTCACATGCACATTAGTCTTCAAAGTGACATCTTTGGTCTTTTCTTTTCTCTTTTTTAACACTTTAAAGAGGTCATTTGCAGCTGATTTGTCCAATGTAATATTTGGTTTGATTTCTTGACTGCTGCTGCCATGGGCGTTGATTGTGGATCCAAGTAAAATGAAATCCCTGACAACTTCAATCTTTTCTTCATTTATTGTTCCAGTTGTGAGGAGTTTTGTTTTCTTTAGGCTGAGGTATAATCCATACTGAAGGCTGTAGTCTTTGATTTTGACCAGTAAATGCTTCAAATACTCTTCACTTTTAGCAAGCAAGGTTGTGTTTTCTGTGTATCACAGGAGGTTGATGAGTTTCCTCCAATTCTAATGCCACATTCTTCTTCATATCATCCAGCTTCTCAGATTATTTGTTCAGCATAAAGATAGAATAAGTAAGGTGAAAGGATACCACCTTAACACACACCTTTGCTCATTTTAAACCATGCGGTATCCCCTTGTTCTTTTCAGATAACTGTCTCTTGGTCTACGTACAAGTTCTGCACAAGCACAAGTAAGTGTTCTGGAATTCTCATTCTTCAAAATGTTATCCATAATTTGTTGTCATCCACACAGTCAATTCCCTTTGCATAGTCAATAAAAACACAGGTAAATATCTTTCTGGTATTCCTTGCTTTTAGCCAAGATCCATCTGACATCAGCAATGATATCCCTTTTTCCATATCCTCTTC